CATGCTTATTATCACTCTAGTCTTTAATCTGCCCCTCACTTCCCATCTGTTCATTCTCTTCAGGTTGTCCATCTCATCCCATTACAGACAGACCAAGTTGCTTCTTGCTTCCCACATAAGAAACAAGGAGTTTTTTAGCTGGCCTGCTTTTCTTCGTTCCACTGTATCTTTCTCACACCACATCCCACTTCATAGTGAATGTTAATAACAACTCTAAAATATATTTACCAAACATAAAAAAATACAGTCCTGTATCTGTGAAAACGAAGATGACAGGGCGGTTTAGCTTTTGTGTGAGGTGCCAAAGATACAGTCTTGCTTTTGTTGGCTCTATTTCATCTTGTTGCTGTTGCTGACATTCCAAAGAACTTATATATTTCAACAATCTTTATGCTCTGTCTTTCAAATATACACATACATAGGAGCTATTGAGAACAGAGGAAGCAACAAATACAGTCTGTAGAAAAGAGACCATAGGGCTGGCTATGGAACTGAGAAATGCTTCGTGTAAAAGGAAAGGAGCACAGAGGTAATGTTTTATAAATCTTTTTTATTTTAGAGGATGTTTTGGCTTTTAGACCTTGCTAAGCAATTTCAACATTTGTGGAGTCTCCAGTATGCTTTGGGATCACTTCCTGGAGTGTCATAACAAAATTTCCTATCTAAGCAAGATTATGGCACAAATGACCAGAAGAAGTATCTCTTCCATTCTGGTGGGTTTTTTGCCTCTGGAAGTAAATTATGGGATAAGAATTCAAGACTACAGATCCAAGCATATTTGAAAGTCCTAAACTGTTTAAACAAATCATTGAAGCAATTTGCAACAATAAGTATTTCAGCATTTTTAAATCAGTGATTTTAAATTAAGTTTGGAAAAGGAAGGTTCCTAGTTCTCAGCTGTTCACAGAGTAAGAAGCTACCAAATGCTTTCCCCAGAACCTCAGTTAGATGTGGTACTTGCAGCTGATGTATTTGGGCTTAATTGCTAAGAACAAAGTAGGTCTCCTTGTCAGGGCAGATTTGGATATTGTTTCTCACAGTACCATTTTAATGTAGATTTACAGTTTACGTTTTGAAGATTTCCTCGACTCTAATGTTTTGTTTTACAAGGGAAGCATAAAATACATGGAAGCTGGCATCCTGGGTTGGTAAAAAGAATATGTGTGGCTCTTTGATAACAAATAGTTTCTGAAAGATCTACCACCTGAATCAACTAAAGTGCAGGAAACTTCTGGATAACTGGTTCTGAGAACTTTGACCCCCAAATCCATCACTCAGTTTTAATCTTCATTGAGGATGAAGATGATTATAGTGGCCTTCCAGTACATGAAGGGGTCTACAAGAAATCTGAGGAGGGACTTGCTACAAGGGCAGGTAGTGATAGGATGAGGGGTAATGGCTTTAAACTGGAAGAGGGTAGATTTAGATTAGATATTAGGAAGAAATTCTTTACTATGAGGGCAGTGAGACACTGGAACAGGTTGCCCAGAGAAGTCATAGATGCCCCCTCCTTGGAAGTGTTCAAGACCATGATGGATGGGGCTTTGAGCAACCTGATTTAGTGGAAGGTGTCCCTGCTCATGGCGGGGGGTTGGAAATAAATGATCTTTAAGGCCCCTTCCACCCTTCCAACCCAGACCATTCTATGGTTCTATGATTCTATTCTACAGTGTTATGTCAGATGTTTTCTACGTTTTTATGGGGTACTTACTTGCAACCTAGAGATATAATCACTTAGAAATCAATAGCTGTACACCCACAGGACAATATGAAGGAAAAGGCATTAGTTTATAAAAAACCTATACTTCGTTGTTCCTTTAAAATGCAAGACTCATTTCTTTTGATAGAAGTTCTTTCATTTCCAATGAGTAAAAATCAAACTTTATTTTTAATACTCTTCCCCTTTGTTTTTGTTTTCAGCAGACTTTAAAGATGATAAGTTAAGTTTCTGAGTTCATACCTGCATGATATTTTATACTTGTTAACTGCTTCCAAAAGTGTTTGTTAAAAGACTGATCCTTATGATGCATGTCGACAGATGCTGAACTGAAGAATTTGCTCTCTGAAGTGGGTAGGTTTGCAGTGTGCAAGAAGTTATCAGGTAGTGATGCAGGTAATTATCACCTGATGTGACAACACGATGGTACCATAAGCCACAATGCCTAAATTTTAGTTGGATGTATATGAACCTTGAGATCCTGTCACAGAAATAAAATTAAGTCCTGTCACTTCAGTAAGGAACGAGGAAGGAGATATCAAAAAACCCCATAAATATTAGAAGTCCCTGAAGTCTAATGATCCAGTTTCCTTAAGCTGAAATGACAGAGTGTCTGCCAAGAAATCCAAGGACCCAGTCTATGTTTCTCTCTCTAAAGCAATTAGTCAATCAGTAGCTTCACAGATCTGTGAAACAATCTGTCCTATTTCATACGTCTGTGCAAGAATTACTTTAAAGTGATAAGGTTACTGCAGTGAAGCCTGGCAAAGACTCTTACAATAGGGTTGTACACTGTTAGAGTCACCAGCAGCATGCTAAGAAATGTCAACTGTAATTAAAACCAATCATTTTGAAATATATGCCATGCTTTGGAAATGATGAGGAATGGTTTTTACAATAAGAATTCTCAGTCCTGCAAGCACAGAATTTTTTTTAAGATTTTTTTTTTCTTTTAGTAGGGAGGAAGATTTTTTTTCCATTTTCTTTTGACAACCTTTGGAAGATGTTTATTCATTAAGGCAATTGTATAAAAAAAATCACAGAACCTCAGGTTCCATGTCTAAACGTCACAGTTCTTATTGAGCTTGCATTTAAGGAACATCCCTGCATGTAATTCTGAGTACATGGCATGGAATCTATTTTAAAGATTTGTGAAACACTTTGGCAAAACATCTATTTACTGAAAACTGACATTTCAAAGTACTGAACTGAAACTGTGTTCAGCTTTTGGCAAGCTGTTTTGGAAAAATCAAAAATAGAAGTTTGTAAATGGTTAAAGACTTGCTTCTAAAATAAAGTATTTAAAAGCTGCAGACTAATTTCACATAAGAACACAGTTTCCATTTGCAAAGATAAGGAGAAGATAATGGCTCCCTTATTCCTGGTTCATTTAACTCTCCAGGTATTACACTCATGTAGTAATTTAAACATGATCCTCCTTGATCCCAGGCAAGCATTTTAGCAATAAGGGCATAAGGTGCTCCAGGACAATATTTCCTCTGTAGATATTCAAAACCAGCCTGGATGCAATCCTGGGCAACCTGCTCTAGGTGAACCTGCTTTGGCAGGGGGGTTGGACTAGATGATCTCCAGAGGTCTCTTCTAACCCCTACAATTCTGTGATTCTGTGACAAAAGTGTCTCACTGTGTGAGGTTTATAACTGGAGCAGTGTCTGGACTGCATTTTCCAATCAGTGGAGAGGGCTCTTTGGCTTCTCTCATGCCTAATAAGTATTTGGTTGATCATTAAAAAATGTAACAGAGACAATTGAAAAGATTGCCTTCAGTTGACTTTATAATCCCATATCCTCATCCAATATGATCTGAAGATAGTAGACCTGTAAGTATTTTTTCACAACATGGTCAAAGTATATTTTGAGAGTCTGAGAGGTATGGTGATGGCAAAGATTTTTTATTGTGTGTAAGACGGGTATGTGCGTGTGTGTGCCAGAGCAGCTCTGGCCAGCCTCACTTATGTATCTGAAGAGATCAGCGTAGTGCTGAGTGCCGTCTTGGAACAATTTTTCAACCCAGAATAGGTGCTGTAGTTATACCTGTGCTTCAGACGGCGGGTCAGAAAAACAAAATTGAAGACTTTTGTACTTGTTTGATCACATACTTACTCAGTTAAAACTCATTGTTTTTCAAAGTTATATTAAGATCAAATATGATGTTGAAGGTTCAATCCCACTCCTGTTGTAATCAATGGCCAAACATGAATTCACTTGGTTAGAGCCAGTATTTTCTTGTAATGAAATGTCAGCTGTCAGACAAGAAGTAGCTTTTTAATGTGATAAAGCATTTCCCTTACCTTCTGGTAAATTAGTCTGGAAACTGTACCATTGGTTAATGAGAGGTTTCTGTTGAGAGAATTCCTCTTAACTCCAACATATATTATCTTTGAACAATATCTGGCTTTACTGTAAAATTCTTACAGTAAAAAAATTACTTGGGGCTACCCTTCTAGAAATGTGGACTGAAGACAAAGACTAAAAGAGAATACACTAATACCATTTAAGCAAAATAAAATACAATTGCTTGAATGCCTTCATGCATGAACTGGCTACTTAGAAAGTAAAGTGTTTCACTATATGTTTCACATATAAAATGCTGAAGAAAAGAATGAAGAAAATATATTATGACAAATTTTATTCCTTTTTTAATGCACATTAAACTTAATTCTGTGTTGTTCTTTTAAAGTGACATTAACCAAACAGAAATTTTAAAAGAACCAAAATGCAAGCTTCACACTACCTCAGTACCTATTATTTTTGTTTAATTCTCAGTACCTATTGTTTTTTTAATTGATATATATTTTATTTTAATTTTTACTTATTGATATTTGTATAAAACCAATGAAGACTCCTTTTAAAGTCTTCACTGCTTTTATATACAAAAGGGTGACATAATTATGCATTTATTCCTGAGGTTCATTATCATGCAACTCTTTCTGGTATGAATGAATATCTTGAGAGAGATAACATCTTGGTCCTTTCAGAGTGAAGAGATACATTTCCTGCCTGAAAACAGCATCCTCACAGCCAGCAACAATTTTTCATAAACTTTGAACTCTAAGAATGCTTCAGGATGATTATCCTCCCAGCAAAAAAAAACTTAAGAGAAAATTCATTATTTTCCTTAGCTCAATACAAACCTATAAAAAAGTCTGCATTTTTTCAATATCAATGCACAAATTTGAATCAAGACAGCTTTCAACATGCAGTTACTATGTGTTTTTTTTTTTCTTTTATTGATCCTAGTAGACTGTCAATTAAATAGTTACCTGACTGGTGTGGCTCTCCCTGTGTCTTTGAATCGATAAGCCTGCTGTAGTGCTGGCTGAATGTCTTGAATATTCATTTTCCTCTGGCAAACCTAAAGCAGGACAATAATAATATATAATCTGCCATTTATGCATTGGCTGATTTTAGTATGAGATTCAAAAGACCTTGACATGTTTTACTAAAAACAACAACAACAAAAAAATCACACTTTTGCCTGGATACTTACTATTTCCATGCTTACTGCAACTGGAACAATTATTGTTTACCAAGTGTGAATAGCATCATAGGTATGCATGCTTGTTTATAGAAGGAGTAATTGTACTGAAAGAGCCTACAAATAACACATTACCTATACACTGGCTAGGGATTCCTCCTGCAATGCGGAAATCCCTGGATCCTCTTCCCCTGGCTCCTTTTCAGAGCAGAAGCAATGCAAAGGGAATGGCAAACAGACCTGCGGTCTGCTCTCAAATTCATGTCTCTAGGTCACATGCGAAGGCAGTAGCAGGTCCAGGGCTGCTTCACCTCCTCAATACAGAGGTTTTTTTGTAATACTTGAACTTATTGTGCACTCTCCATGTGGGAATTAGCTGCCCAAAATTGAGCTGTGTGAAAAACAGTCAATCAGTATAAAAGAGCCAGGTAGTTTCCCTCTGCAGTCAAGAGAAACAAACACTTGTGCACAGTGACCCTAGAGCCAGGCTTACTGCCAGCGCTTCCCTGTCACTTCTGCCAAAGTGGGAAGACCATTCACATAACAATACAGAGGATGTGAAAGGCGGGAAGAGGGGAAGCAAAGGCAGAAGTAGAAACACAGTGAGTCCATGATAGGCATTATTAAGCCCCTCACAAACTATAATCACAGACACTACAGTAGGTTTGGTATCCAGCAATTTTGGTATTGCTTTGTATAGCATATATTCTAAATTTTCATGCTACTATGGCATCCATAAACAGCATATCACTGTTCCTTCTTTAGTCAGCTGAATAGAGTTAGCCACCATGAGAAGATTCATCCTGGTAAGAGATATTCAAGTTGAACTGTTCTCAGTAGATCACCTGAGGTTTACTAACTAGAAATGGATAACATCTGCCTTTTGTGTGGCTAAAACTAGGTAAGATGATTCTGGTCCTAGATATGTAACTCTTAGATAAGAAAAAATAAGGTGAACCTCACTCTTTGCATGTTATACACAACATATGCAGAATCATAATGGAAAAAATTCAAACTTCAAATGCAATGGATCATAAACTACTTATGAGATTATGTACTGCACTAGACATAGTTCTGTTTCATGTTTATGTTCAGTTTCTCGTTCAGTCACGAAACTGGCACAGAAACACACTACAAAACATGCTTCTCTGCCAACCTGCTATTCTCAGTATTAAAAATGGGTTTTAATTATATTTTTTTTTATTTTGATAAGTAAGCATTAAATCTTACATGGTTACGGTATATGATTTAAATAATGAAAATGTAAATTGCATGAATAATCCCATAAAATAACCTGATTTCGTGAGAGAACTAGAACAATAATTTTAAAAAGAAGGAATGATCCTTATTCCTTTTTGGCCTCTCTACCCTGCTTTTTGTTACCCCTTATAATGATGCATCTCCACAGCTTTGTATCTAGGGACAGCTGGGGTTTTTTTATTCTTCTGAATGAAGCCTGTGTAAAGTATTCATAAATATGGATCTTTTTCTACAGCTTCAAATCATCTGGACTTCTTCTGGACACACACAGGCAGTGAAAAAGGTGGAACCCCTGCTTGCAGCTCAGGAGCCAGGTCAAATCTTGTAAGAATCCAGCATTTCAGTGCTTTGCTGCCTGGTGCAGAGAGGGAGTTTGACCCTGTTCTCTCAGTGATTTGAACGACGCGTTGTTGGGAGGAGGAGCTGTTTCTTTTTGAAGCTGCTCTGTGATGTATTAGGTATGTGCTGGAGCAAGGTCTGATATTCAAGGTCTCCACTATGCTAGGCTTGCAAAATATGTGTAACTTACCACTATTTTTCTTACATATATTAAATTCTCCCTCAGCAAAATCATATTTTTTTGTGGTCAAACGAAATGCTTGAAATATTTTTTTTTAATTAATTCAAAATTTCCCTCCAAAACTCCAAGTTTTCTCAACACAAAACAAATTCCTTTTTTTTTCAAATAATTTCCTGAACTTATAATTTATTCACATGGATTAATTTTGGATCATTTCAAAATAATAAAACATTATCCACATTTTAAGGCAAAATTCCTTTTTAAACTAGGTGTTATTCATTTAATTCAAATAAAATATATAATGCAAAATATTTGCATGATTCTAGACCACCATGAATGAACAAAAATACTTTGCTAGGCCAGCAGTATGCTTTTGAAAAAGATAATGCTTTTCCACTATATTCCTACACTTCAGCATCTACCATCCATGACAGCCTTGAGCTAAGAATAAGGTTATCAATTATTTTCTATTTATTTCTATGAAAAGCACTTTGATAAGAGGTCTTATCAAATGAGTAAAGTTTCCATGCACAGCAACAGCACGTCATCACAGACATGGCAAGCAGAGGCTTGGTGGAGTTTGGAAAGATAAATGGAGTAGCTGATTACATTCTGAAAGTTTTCCTTTATGTACACCTAAGTAAATATTAGGATACCACAGCTGTGCACTGAATAAGACCTTGCTTAATTCAGCACAAGGTTGGAAGCATCAGTTTAGCAGGGGCAGGGGCAGAACTGCAAGAACATAAGTTAATCAGAAGTTCAGGCTGGAGCACAAATTACACCATCTGGACTGTGTTTTCTTGCAGTTATTCTGAAGTTTCCCAAAGTAAGTGTAATTTGGCATTTTTTTGCAAAATTATTCTTGCTAACTTTATTACTGCAATTATATGCGGTAGTGAAAATGATAGCAGGCAATATGATTTGATCAATAATCTCTAACTGGAGAAGTTAAATGAAAGAAATACATTAATTTATTATTATTTTTTTTCCACATAATCAAGAATAAGGCCTTGTCACAAGTAATATGTGTATTCAAACTAGAAGCAGGCTTATCCCCTGTAATGCATTTTCTGTATTGCCTTGAAGGAAGATCCCACACTCAATCCCTGACCTTCTTCCTATACTTTCTGTTTCCCATTTCTGCCCTGTTCTCAGATACTGCTCTTAGGATCCTTCAGATAAATATTGAATTAGGATCCTTGCATCTCAAATATTGAGATCTAGATCACTGAACATCTAGAGATTGTTCTGTGATTCCAGAGAACCTCCAGTCTCATAGGCTCTGCTATACCCTGAGCTGGAGACCCTGTACCTCCTGGCTTCCAACATCAATTTTTGCAAAACAACAGCAAGACTTCAGAGTCTCTGGGTCTTTGCAACTGTGGCCACACATCATCCCCCAAACCTTCTACCTTCCTCCATGATTCTGCATTCATACACAGGCTGGATCTACTGATCAGCTCCACTTGATAACATGGGCTGCTATAGTGTGAAAGAAAAGACATCACCAGGAAAGGCAAGATGTATGACTCTGTGCTTAACAGCATATAAACCATGTGATGGTGACATGTCACCATTCTGTTAGGTTATCTGCTGTGACACCTTTCCCATTCTGTAACTTTCAGGGCGGGTGCAAACTTGTTGCCTGATGTGCTTATATCTGGTGGTAAGTTTCAAGACTATAAGGCAGACTGTAGCCCACAGGTGACCTGCTTAGACAGAACGGCTACTTTCTCGACAGCTAAAGTTAGACAAAACTAATCCCTGTACCTGAATAATACATAGAGCTCTTGGTGAAAGTCAGGTTCTTGACGTTTACTCTTCTGCTGATCAGCATAAGCTATATAGTGAGTTCATTCACACAGACCTCCATACACAAGCAGTAGACCTCAGTTATAACTGAAGAAAAGAGGAACAGAGAGGCTTCCTTCTTGGGACAGCAGTGTGCCAAGGGAGGTGGATGAACAGCAGAGTGCAAAGTGGGTGCCTGTGTGACCACTGGGCATAATGCAGCACAATGCTACTCGGGCCCAACTGGGCTGTCTCATCTATACAATATCTCTCTAATTTTCACTTGGGTTACACTGGGTAAGTACCTCTACAACACACTCCACTGGGGCTAAAGAACTGTCAGATATCTGGGGAATTCCTCCCTTTCACTAACCAAAAGTTAGGTCACCTCAATCACTTACTATAGTTGTAATATTTAAATTTTTCACTTAATGAACAAACACCCTTCTATATCCTGTCAGTTACTAGCTGGAAATAACAACACATTTCAGTAAACTGTAACCTACAGTGTTTGAGTATTTCCTACCAGAGGATCTGCTGGTTTGCATGATTTAGGATCACAGCTTTCAGCATTGTAACGTAAAAGGTTATTATAGGCTTTCTGATTAGTCTTTGTGTTTGGACAAGAAACAGAAAAAGAAGCTCTTTCTTACAGACTGAAAACTTTGGTGGGCATAGAAGGTTTGCAGCAGAAAAGTCACAGTTTGACAGCACAGAGCCGTAGAAAGCTGTTACTCCTAATATTAAAGATAAACTAAAAAAGAAGGAGATTACATTGTATAAAATGAAAAAGCAACTTTACTAAAATTCTGAACTAACAGCAATGCCAGAAATTAAACTCAGCTTCTGAAAGAAACACAGCATTAATCTGTTTGGAAGCTGAGCCAGACAGCTTTTTAGCTGCTTAGCAATGGTTTTCTAAAGAATTCATCAGGTTATACGTAAGACTAACATCTTGGTCAAAATTATTATTCTTCTGACTATAGTGACTTTAAGTTTCAAGATGCTTCAGAAGAGTGGTGCTGACACTCCATTCATGACAGCAAAAGAAAGAAATTTTTAAGAAATTGCTTCTGTATTAACTCATATGAGTAATATATGAACCTAGATTTTGCTTCTGGCAGTGGAAAGTAGATTATATAGTTGCACTGTATAACAGTGGGAAGCAGATTACTCTATATTCAAGAGCTTTGTAATTTCAGTATCAACTATTTAATAATGCTTTTCAGGTTTATATTTTCCTCAGAGCTAGAGGAGTTTGGTATACAGTAACAAAGAAATGAAAAAGCATTTTACATGGAAACATCTTGTGCCACATTCTCAAATATCACTATTGCCTAGATATATCCAACAAGATGCAGACTTCAAAATCATGAAGATATTAAGGTCGAATACTAGAAGTATTTTTTTCCTAAGCAAACTGGCAAACTGGTTTTTGAATTAATGTAATCAAAGTACACCAAAGATTTCCATATTGTCAAATCTTTCAATTATTATTAAAGGTAGCTGGAAAACTTGCATTCTGTGTCACAAAAGTCATTATCTGATTTTGCTCTGCATCAGGGTAAAAATAAAAGCTGGCATCATTTCTGCAACTGTCTGACAGGCAAAACGTAGATTTGAACCTTGAAATACCACAAATAATGCTAATTCCTTACCCAGTGGGATACTGCCAGACCTAAAGGGAGTTTTTTTCTACTCATAGAACAGAGTGAATATAAAAAATATTCCTTATCAAAGCTTCATCAAAATTGGGAATCTTCCATGGAAAGTTTGGATTTGATGAATCAGTGGTTTTCAGTGGTAAAAGTATCTTACTGGAAAATTCCATTGCACAGCATTACATCTTTATGATTTAACTTTCCATTTACAAATAGTTTGAAAAGAATTAGTTTATGCATAGTAGATACTGTATATTATCAATATGAACAGACCTGGTTACAACTGGTTGCAAACATACTGATAAAAACTTCACACAAACAATTACAAACACCCAGCTCACCTCTTAGTTGGCCTTTTATTCAAGCAATGGCTATTTATTTCAGTAACTGAGATCGTTTACTAATTTAACTGTAATAATCACAAATTATAAACTTAAAGCATCATTTCAACTCTAAGCTGAAAGAAAAACAGCTGTTGTATTAAAGTCCCAGTTAAGGGGTTTGGGGATAAAATGGTTGCTCTTATAAAAAGCTGATCTCCCACAAGTCCCATTAGTACATCAGAATATATGGTTAAAATCCTACACGGAATGGAATCAAAGATTTGGTCTACCCACAGTTTTTGTGGTTTTTGACAGTCTGACTGTTATACACAGAAAATATGCTCCCCTCCTCCCCAAATTATTATATTGGTACAAATGGGGACACAGTTGTAATGGACAAAGATGCCTTTTTGTTCTGTCACAGTGTGTTCCTGGTCTCATACAGGAACGAATGAACCTTTACACTTGTGTTACTTCTCAGACTGGATGAGATTTTTTATTTTATTATCAGAGAGAGCAGGAAGAATTATTTTGGCCAAGCACTGCAGAATTGGGATAATATGTTTTCTTGAAAAGAAAGGAGTTATTTGATTTTGGAATGTTTCATGTTGATAATAAAACTTGATTTTTCATTTCAAAATATTGCATATTAAGCACCTCTAACCTTTTTTTTTAAAAAAAAAAAAAAAAAAAAGATAGCTTATTGGGAAAACAAAATGAAATATTTCACTTGACCTGATATTTTTCCCTTTAATTTTTCCAGCATAGCTCTCAAACTACCAACTGTAGTATGTGTAGATCTACCCTTAACATTAAAGACTATACAAGTGTCCTGCTTACAGAAACCATATTTAGATTTAAGTTTTCAGCATTAAGACAATTGTACCCAGTACCATGCAAATATTTAGACATCTGCTTCTCCACATTTTGTCAAAATAAAAACTTTCCGTTTGTCTTGTGTCTACTCATACTTGTGTATTGTGTGATTTTATGTAATACAGGTGTTATATCCTTGGGACTTATGCTCTCAGGACCCTGAAAGATTTCATTCTTTCTGTCATTGTTCTTGCACCATTTTGATCATCTCATTGCAATAATAAACAATTTCTCATTCACTAGCAAGACACCTGTAGCACAGGGAGATCCTGATTTTCCATTTTCTGTCCCATTTGTATTGATTATAGGATCAGAAATCTCAAATCTCGGTCCTCCATGGCTTGGGCTGCTTATAGACTTGGAGCTGAGCTAACTGCAAATTCCTCAACAGAGGCTGTTTTATTTTCTTCACATTCAGCTTTTATTGGAGAGGGGCTTATCAGCTCACACATACAAAGTTAAGCCAGTTCCAGAAACACAGATACTTCACAACTCAGAAGATTCTAGCCTGAACTATATCTTAAAAAGCTCATGCAAGGAAACAGTTCAGCAATTTTATGTTAGAAGAATTTTGGGATTAAAAATTGCTTACCATTTGATACTGAATTTCCATTTTCAGCAGTCACAGAACTGTTCAGTGGATTAGATGACTGAGTACCATGTTTATTTGCATTTTTATCCTGGGTTTCTGATACAATATCTGATGTATTTGGATCTTCTCTGCTCCTCAAGTTCAGATTAGTTTCAGCACCTGACAAAGAGGAAAAGCTTGTCAGCTTCCTATTAACCAGCAGCTTTTACACAAACTAACACATAAAATCCAAAGTACTTTATCAAATTAATTTCATTAATCACTTTAATTCATGAGTCCAGTGATAAATGTGGAAGGTTTAAGTCAGTGATTTTTGCAGGGTTTTTCTTTTTTTTTTTCACTAGTGTTTCACCTCTAGTCATTTAAAGTTTATGGAAGTGAAAGGCATTAACAAAATTTCATTTGTACTGTTTCTTTTCACACAAATATCAGCTGATAAAACTCAACAAATGTTTGTATTGCCTCTTTTTAGATTCTGTTCTATTTCACATGATGTTCATATACCACTGTCAGCACTGCAACACCTTTCACCATTGCATTAGGTGATGCTAGCAACAGCAATACCATGGGTTTATTTTTTTATCTTATCTCCTTCCACAAGAAACGAAATGGCTTTTGATATAAAAGCATATGTAGCAAGATTCCTCCCAGCAGAGCCTCCCTGTGGGCATTATTTACCCTGCCTCAGGGCTCTCCAGCCATCAACTGTCATTTCCTATAAAGTTCAAGGTTTTCATGTCATAGCCTTTTAGCAAAATTTCTTCAAGATATCAAGAGGAGGCCTGATCCCGTAGGAGCTCCCAAGATATGCACAATGCACAGGCATTTCTCCAAAGAGAAGAGCAAAACCTTTCTCTTCTTCCCCCTCTGACTGATGGCACATCCACTCAAGGCAGAACAGCTCACAGCAAAGTGACCAGAGGTGGCTTGGAGCTTTCCTGGCTTTGTCAGCTTAGTGTGCGGCAAGGAATAGGGCTGAGCCATCAGTCGTGCCCCTGCAGGGCTCCCCACTGGAGGTCAGGGGCCGGAGGCAGGCTGGGGGCTGGTAGGAAGGACTATGAATGGATGCGGATGGTCAGAGAGACCCCCACTGCAATTCTGGCATCCCTGGCTACCTCCACTCCACCACACCTGGCAGGGCTGGTGAGGCTACAGCATTTTTGGGGAATTTCTCTCTCTTTTCCGGTTTTCTCTTCATTTTGTGGTGAACATGTATACATACTCTTTCCTTGCCAACATGTATGCATAGTCTTTCCTTGCCATAATCAAATTTGTTTCATAGAAGACAAAGCTGAATTCAGTTCTCTCTCTGTTAAACTCCATTTCAGTTTTCCTAACTCTTTCCATTCCCTCTGAGAGCTGGCCTTAACTGGGGGGCTGACATTTATGGCTGACCTGGGTGCAGATGCCCTCATTTAGCACCCTAAAATGGAAATTTTTCTTATGTGACAGCTCTCAGAGCTATTCCTTGATTTTGGTTGTGTCTATTTAAGCTTCATCATAATAACAGCAGCAACCAACGGAGGTCAAAAGACTAGCTACTAAAACCAACATTACAGAATTCATCCATACTTCCAATGACATCCTCAGCTCTCCCAAAGATACAATATATTCTTACAAGTCTTTAGCATATAAGCATTCTTCAAGGGGACAGGAAAAAATTTTTTTCACCAAGCAACAGGTCATTTGACTGCAGATTTTCAAGATTAATGTTGACTGCATGGTCAATTTTTCATTTTTATGTCTGAACTGAAAAAAAAAAAAAACAAACCAAACCCAAACAACCTGGTTTACAAAGTACCAACATTTAAAAAATTAATTAATGAATCAAAAACTATATATCCATTCTGGTTAACTTGAAATTTTTCCTTTCATTGAAAAGAACTTCCTTAGTTTTGTTTAGCTTTCAGTTATCTAACTCTGAATCTTTCTTAACATTTCCTTTTTAAATAAAAAGATGTCTTGAAAAGTCAAAAAGTTCATTTCCAAGCTGTCAGAATAAAATATTCCAATTTTCTTTTCTTTTTTTTTTTTTTTCTTTCTTGCTCCCTCCCTCGCTCTCCTTTCCTGATCATTATTTTTTGCCAGACCTGACTGGAGTGTTTCAGTGTCACTGTTTCATAAACAGTGTATTTAAGCAAATGTGCTGTACATTGAAAAAATGAGGCCAGCTCTACCCACAGTAACTGACTTGGGAGAGGTGGTAGAACCAGAGTCTGAGTTGGAAAATGCATACAGTACAATTATAAAAGCATGCCTGATTTAGCTTTTGTACAAGCAAGTTGACTGCAAAATGCATCCTTGCAACTCATATTAAATTTGTCTGAAAAGGAAATGTCACTTTTAGATGTTAATAGTCAGTGCACTTGCCTATAGATCATAATCCACCTACATAATTATTGTGCCACCTTTTACATAAAGAGTCTCGGGGGAAGTGGCTGGGATCCTTATTTTTCTTGATATCCGAAAGATTTATTGATTTGCCTGACATATGCAATTCATTTGAGAATGTGCAAGTAGAAAGGCTTTTTCTTGCACTCCTATTTGCAAAAGCCTTTTGTTTCATAGGTACATTGATATCTTTCCATGGCATTCATGGAGGGCACTTGGAAAAAAAAAAAAAAAAAGTTTATCTCTTCTCCTTTATAGCTGTAAGATGAAATACTACAAAGAATGGCAGATAGCTACTGTTGAGCTAAAATATCATCCTAAATTGGCAGAAACAAGTACTGGACAGATATGCAGCATATACTTTGGGACAACTATTGAGATAGAGAGCTGTTAACCCATTTGCTCTATTCAGTTATTATAAGAAACACACACCTTTAGTTTCTAAATATAAGACTACATATAGAAAATATACTTCATAGTGCCTTATTTAATTAATCTTAAGGGTGAGAAAAAAGCCTATATTTTGTTTCAAAATAATCTGGATTATATAAAGGTACTTGTACTAATATTCTATATATAGGCATTTTCAGCTTCTTGTTGGAGCAGAGTCACGTGAGTTTGTGGAAAAAGTGCAACCGCGTATTTTGGCTAACTTCTAAAGGTCTCCTGGAGAAGCCAGAGTGTATCCCTAGCAAACAAGGGCTGTTTATTTATTTTGGACTTTGTGCAAAATGGATGAGTTTCTGAAGAAAAATTTTTCTATAAATAGGATAACAAGAGGATGTTTTAGTCAGGTGTAACCAGTGTACTGTCCCAGCACTGCAAAACTTACTTAGGATCAATAGGAAATTTGGGCTGGAAGGAACCTCAGGAGGTCCCTTGTGCACCCCTGCTCCAGGAAGGGCCAGCCGTGAGATCACACCAGATGGGTCAAGCTTTAACATGCCAAAAGGCCCTGACTTTACCTTCTGTGTAAGGTTATCCCTCTCTGTCCTGCCTCCCCATTACCCAAAATATCCCTGACCATAATCAAGGTATCTCCTGATTTTTATAATAATATTTCTGTTCCACACAGTGCATCATCACACATCGTATCTTAGTTAGGAATGCTGTGGGTGATTGTAAAAGATATAGGGATGTTCTGTTAACACTAAAAAACTTAGAAAATTCCTACTGATTCCAATTTTATCCATCAAATATTGGTCTGAAATTCACTTTACCCTCATGTTTTCTCAGTTACCTGATAACAAAGTTTGGACTTTTCTCCACATTAATGTCAACTTCCCACTGCTGCTGTGAATCCCTGCAGATACAATATGTGCTGCTCTCATACCTTATTAACTTTCTGAAACAATCAGAAATACTTTAGGAGAGAGGAAAAGAAAAAACTGTGGTACCTACAGTTGAACATCCTCATCAACACACTCAATGTCAGCTTTTTGTTTAGACTTGCACTCTGCTGTTCTCACCAGATGGATGGATGATTTACCAGGTTTCAACTCCTTTTTTTTTTTTTTTTTTTTTTAAATAACAGCATCTTAACAGTTTCCAGCTAGTAATAAATGTCACTTGAAGAGTCATCCATGCTTACTTGTGAAAGACTAGCTAGAGAGGTATCAGCTGTAAGAGCATGGTGGGAGTTCATAATTATAAAAGGAATACAAGCTTTAAGTGAAAACCTACAGACTCTTTGCAACAGTGAGCAGCATTTGGATTATTATTTTGGTAAACTGACTTTGCCAAAAAGATATCACTGACTCAGTCAAATTCTGCTCTGACTAATCTTGAAGTTAATCAGGATGTATGGACTACAAAGATGTACAGATGTTTGGACTGGGGGCATAATTTGCCCCTCAACTGCCCCATAGTTAATAGCTGGAAGCAATCACATGTACAGTGCTTTTAATCAGAGTATGACAAATCAAAGTGCAACAATTATTTCCTTGCAAGCAAGCTCTGTATTCCAATAAACTCATAATTAATTACACCAACGTTGCTTGAAAAATGTAAGAGGAAAGGTATGCAAAAGAGGCAGCTCACGGAATCCACATTTGCTTGTTATTCACAGTGTTCCTGGAAGAGACTGAGTGTAAAACTCGTGACAAAGTCATAAGGCACAGAATGGACTGAAATTTCACTTATTTTGGAAAGAAAAGTCAGAGTGTGGCAATCATGGAAATGATTTCATATATCTGCTTTTTATTGTCGTTTTTGAGTCATTATCTCGCTCTTAAAAAAAACCTCAATGCACTGAAAGTCTACATGATATAACTTTTTGTCAAAAGAATAACTCAAACTCTTTTAATTGAGCTATGACTTTCAAATATCCTATTATAAAGATCTTTTTTCTCAAACATAAAATGTAGGATCCCAAACATCATAGTTATTTCATAAGGAGCATTTAGGCTGAATTAATGCTGTTATCACCAAATTAGAAAATAGGCTAGTACAGGCTCTATTCAGATGACACATTAAAGTGCAATACTGAAACATTCTGAGAAACTATTACTTTCATAAGGAAATTATATATTTAGCCTATTTAATAAAGTCTAAAGCAAAATATAAATCAATGACTGATACCAGCATTTAGGTGGAATCACCATAGACTCTTTGTGCAGCAAGACATGAAAAAATAGTACGTTATTAAAAGCCCAGCAGTAACTCACCTGGCTGGATGGTATTTTTCTTTTCTGTTAAGCCCTTTTTTTGCTCTTCTTTCTTTAAAAGTAGGCACATCCATAACATATATCTGTCCCCATATGTTCTTT